GTTTGGCTATGACTAATGATCTGCATTGATTTTTACAAATGCGTGTAATTTATGCTGTGGTTTTTGAACTTCTATTTTTGGTCATTTCTAAACTCGTAGATGTAATTGTACTATATCAATTATGAGCATACTAAAATGGCCGGTTCTTAGCACGTGGCCGATTCTGGGACTATTGCGCTAAGGAAATTACACCTTGACAGTGTTTTAGCTGCTTCTTTTCACTGTGCTGGATATTACTGTATACTGTTTACCCCTTAAACAGAAACGAAGTGTCTAATATTAGGGGAGGCTCATGGATCCGTCAGAATGATACGGAATTCATGGACCGATGATGAACTTTTTGCAGACAACCGTCTTACCCCGTTAGTTTTTATGTTTCCATTCTGCCCCCTCGCCAGACATGCTTCACAGAACGATAATCGATTAAAGCAATGTTCACCGTTAACTCAAGAATGGACATTTTGCCTGTCTAATTACCATATACCTGGTTTTTCCTTTCTGGTATTTGGAGATATTAATGGAGTAATGCCGGAATGCCAAACCGGATCCTGTCATACAGCCAGCGTTTGAGACAGCGTTCGTCGAGCTGGAAACTGATCTTCAGGGTGCATTGGAAAAGTTCGCAGTGCGACGTGGCTGACGCCGATGTGAACATGTCTAAATTCAGAGGTGTAGTGCTTTCTCGTTCCCCGTCCGCGGTGCCCTGCAGATAAATGCACGACCAGTGGAACAAAGGGAGAAGTTCACGTGCCTCAGGGTTGTGCTTGCTGGCGATAGAAAAGAGTAAGTGATGGTCGACCGGCGAATCGAGATGGCCAGCGGTGTTTTCTTTTCGTGAACCTTCCTGAACCGCTGTAACTATGGTAGCACTGAGTCCGAAGATGAAACTACCCATGTTCAACTCGATTTTCATCTCCATGCTCACCAATCGTCATGGTCAGTGGCCATGACTGAAAAATTGTGCAGGACGGGACATGGTATGAGAGAGAAAGTTGCCGCATGAATCGATACAGTCAGGGAGCAACTTCATTATGGAGATATTAGCCTCAAAGTAAAATCTACTTCATAATGTTTTTCTATACTAACATAATCCCAAACCAGTTTTCATACTGATGCACTGGTTCGACTGAATTACCAGGGTTTCCTTTATCTACCGACTAAGAAGATTTTTTTCTTAATATATTTATTGCATTCATTTGGTCTCGTAATATACGGTATTATTCTTGTACTGCCTATTCCTCCTTGAAGCAAGGAGGTGCCTCCTATCAGGAGATTGACCAGTGTAAGTATCTCCGCTCCATTATCTCCAGCAATGGCATTATCTAGACAGAGATAAATAGGAAGATGGGCCCAACCTCGAGTGCTTTTGGAAACCTGTCCAATATATGAGCTGAGGCAGGAGTCACTCTTTCCTCGAAAATCCAACTGTACCTTATCTCTGCCATATCGGTGTTGTTGTACGGTAGGAAGAGACAGTTTTTCTAATAAAGGAGCAAAAATGACAGCTTGCAGCAGCCTTGGCTTCGACGCATAAGGAGGGTTAACTGGTAGGACGACAAAGGGAGTGATCATATTCTCTTTTAAGCACAGGTTACCTTGGTAGAGATGAAGATCAGGAAAAGAGGTTGGCACTGTTAGACACACTGGTTACATGCACCATTTACTCCTGCCTGCGAGCCTCTCGTGTTGGAACCGAACCGAAACACGGCAGGGTTCGATAAGAAGGCCAGATGGAGGAACAAAGTAGAGCAAGATCTGCTTTCAGAGACGAATATTTCTTTCTGCGATGCAGTATCCGGTGTTTTAATGCAAAAATGCTGACAGGCTGCTGATACAGCTGACATCACAAGCCAGGGACGTTCTGCTTATGCAAAAGGGTCAAGGTGATTATCTAAACCAATAACAACTACATGTACCACACCTGTGAGTTTTCCGCAAACATTCTTCACTATCTGCGAGCATTCATTTCTCTTCGCCCTTTCCTTTTCAGTGCTTGTCCATTCTGACGTATATCAACGTTACACTATCTTGTCAGGTTGCTGAGGAGTAATTTCTTCTTTTCATTTGTGGTATTACTCGCTTCCTCTGTTTACCGGGATCTCACTCGCATATCAGGGTGCTGTTTTGATTTTGGCATACATCAGATAGCTCCTTAGTGCTTTCTACGATCTGAAAACCAGCCGTATTCTGCGCTGTCGGACGATCTTCTGCAGCTTCTCGTCTAGATATGGCACGCATGTAACAATAACGCTGGTAATGAAGTTCTATCACACCTTATTATCTAATTATTCTTTCCTTTCTATTCCACCGTTGCTATTTGCTGATTGTTTCTCCTATTAGTCGTTAATGACAGCCACTGTTTCTGAGGCTCTCCGGCCATCTCTGACTATGAGCTAGTTCCTTTTAAATGCCAATATCCTCTGAACTCTATTTGAGGATCTATAAATTGGAGTGCCACTGACGCCCGTCTTCATGCAATATGCAGAGAATTGAACGGTACAAATTTATTGGAATGTGTTGACTTGTAAACACTTCAGTAACATACTTGTTCACTTTTCTCATGATTAATGCGTCAAGAGTAGGTACGGAGTTTCTTGTTTAACTTCCATCGTGAATATGAATTCTTCCAGAGAGACGTCCCGGTGTTCGTGTGATCCAGGAAGAGAGTCTTTTATCGTTTTCACCACTGGCGAAAGTCATCAACGTACCTTCTGAACAACAAGGGTTTAATATTCCTGTCAAAGGTTGAGAAAACCGGGGTTTCTAGATGTTCCATAAAGAATTCTGCTAGAATTGGAGACAACAGGGAACTAATAGATGAACCGCTCTTTTTTGTTACAATTCGCCGTTGAATTTTAAATGACTGTTTCTACTAGACAGATCATTAAGATATCTACAATGGATCTAGCATCTAACGTTGTCTTCTTCACTAATTCATTATCGTTCTCTAGCTGCCTTTCTAAATATTTCAGATCATATATGATTTATCCTTGGGGGATGTTCTTTTAAAACCACGATCGATCTTAGTCGTGGCAATAAAACTGTCTTCTGAAAGTAGACAAAGTACCGTTTTAACAGGTCGAAATTATGTCTCATAGCATTTTTATCAGGAGTAAGCATTTGAAAGACACTTGCAATAAAGAACCCGCGTAAATATGAAACGTTTCGGTCTTCATTCAATTATGTGTTACCTTGCGCTTAACATTTCCGAAGTCACATTTCGCGTCTACGCATCAAACATGCTCGTAGATGCATAAATCAGATTCAATCTAGCCGCCATGAACTGCAGTTGCTGAGATCACACCATCTTCGCCTAGTGGCTCTCCTAAGCAATTAAGAACAAGGGAGTGGTGCAATACATGGTGAAAGTCGGTTCGAAGGAGTTAAGAGCTTGCAAAAATAATATATTAGTACTTGTGCAGTTTCAACTTCCGTGGTTGATGAACACAGCAACTTTATAATTGCTCAAATTTTCAATGTTAATCTTTGCGTATATGCTATGCGGTACGCATATATACCTATGCTCCATAAATATTTATATTATTACCGCTATTATTCATTCATTATTACAGTAAATCACCATGCCACATATCCTATCAACAGAAGAATAAATTGGAATTGGATAGCACTTTATCTAGGGTCTCTTCACTACTAAGCTTCACCAGCTCAGTTGTCCATTTTAATGTCTGAAATGAGCCAGTTTCAATACGTTAGGTTTCGTAATAGGAAAGAGCGGTCGATCTGCTAATGAAAGTCGCTCTTCTGCTGCAGTGTGCGATTATCAGTAGTACCTGGACTGGTTTTCGCAGTCGAACCACTTGGCTAGAAAGAAATCTAACACAGTTACTGCTGCTATAGAAAAAACTAGCCTTTACGACTTGAGCGTTTACCCTATGAAAACTCAAACCTCATTCTCTCACTGGCACATTTTGCAGTTAGAAACTGACAACACAACAAAAGCTATGGTAAACTTGTTGTGTTCCATGAGGCAAGTACTTGAAAGTGAATAAGTACCGCATGAAACAGTCTAACTGACTTAGCCATAAAAAAGGTATGATATCAAACTCACCAAAGCTTCAGTTTTTCGTCCTGGTCTATTTCAAAACAGGTATCTTGACAGCCCGCTCGAATGGCGACAGATCAACAAAATTGCGACAAAATTTTCTATCTACCTAAACGAAAATGTATGAAAAAGTGTAATGCGACTTTTGCTGACAAAAGAATCAGAACGTCCAGTGTCAGTAACTGCAAATGCTCTACGGAGTAAAAGCAACAATTAAAAAATATGCTTCCTGAGTTTTTGGAGTACTACGGAAACGAAGGTTTATTCGGCTGAAATGTTGAGTTGCATAACTAACGATATTGGGACTAATGCATTATTCGGGTATAAGTCGACAGCCTTATTCTGAAGTCATACGTGCGCTACCCCGCCCAATTTTGAGGCACAAAACCGTCTGCAAAACTTTCTTCAGACTGCGAAGGGTCAAAAACCGTAAAACCATAGACCGTTTTGAATCATTAAAAATTTACTTTAAAACGCTATATACCCCAAATATTTGGTTAAACTCAGATAGCAGTTTCCTTCCCCACTCTGATACTCATCCTATAACCTTATTTTTATTTGAAAATTGAGTACTTTATTCGTGCATTGGTGCTAATTCTCAAAACTAACAAAAGATGATAACGGTTCATTTTTTCATAACGCAAGCAGATAAGTTGGTCAATCGAGTGACTGACCAGTCCCGATGTTTCGGCTCTCGTCTGTTCAGGGTAATCCAGATTGATTTGCGCGGTTGAGTCTGAGGGCCACAGCTGTTGTGATATTTGGAGCCAAAGATGGGTGTGAAAACTGCAAAGTAAAATTACTTGCTTTACAGCAATATTGCGATAATGTAAAGCAGATGAGTCTCCACACTGGATTGCATTTCTTTGCTTCTAGTCCTCTGGAAGGACTGTTTAAGCAAGCCACCGATCAATAGTATTTAAGCGGGGCAACTTACTTGATAATTCCTATCTGTCCTAAGCTACCTCAGTACTGCTGCAAAGTAAGTAATTTTACTTTGCAGGTTTCGCCCTGTAAATCCAGTAGTAGCAGTTGAGAGATAATATTTACCGACGGCGGAATCGAAAAGATGCGATTCTTAGCAACAAA